AAGAAGAAGAAGAAGAAGAAGAAGAAGAAAAAGAAAAGAAAGAAGTAGCAATAATAAGTTAATATTTTTTAAGTTTACAAACAGCAATGAAGAGAAAATAATTCACAAATCTACATACTTTGCCTTTATCAAAATAATGAATAATGCTGTAGTAGAGGGCTTCTTTAAGTTCACGATGAGTCTGGCAGCGGGGATAACGAATACTTTTCAGGAGAGGAGGTAGTGTATCAGCTGACCAATTCAGAAGTTTGCTATGCAACTTCAATGTGTATGCAGCTTCAGTATAATTATCACATTCTAAGTGAAGGTCACATAGTTTGTTTACATATCGAATATACATTTCTTTTCTATTAATCTCACTATAAAAATCCTGCAATTAAGAAACATTTATTTATACACATGTATGTGTTGATTTGCTGTAGCAAATCAATCACAGTTTACTTAAACTACAGACAATGAAATTGCTTTTTGCACAAACAATGGACTATTCAATTTAGCTTTCTCTTCAAGAATATATACAAAAAAAATCCTCTAAAACATTGTGTTCTATGTTGCCATTGCTAATCAAAGTTAACTTTTATTTTTAATTAACATTTGAGAACGTGAGGTATACATAAAATCTACACCAGAAATGACAACAATTTTAGTGACTAGAACTCCTATGAAGAGATGGTGGTAGGAACATTCAAAAATAGCTATCAGAAAATATCTATTGCAAAAAACCAAGAGAAGAATCCTTTCTGTCAGGTCTTAAATAAGCATTTGGAGACAGATAAAAGTGATTAGCTACGAGTTCCTGTTGAAGTAAAACTTCAGGGCCCAGATGTTTATGACTTTTTACACGTTTGCTCTGTTCATCCTTGTTTGGCCTATTTTGATGTTTCATCATATAACCATTTTTACATATTTAATCTCAATTCGACCATTTGCTTTCCATTTAGCTAATGCATAGGCATCTCACACGTCAGAATTTCATAAAACAAGTTTCAGAATTATAGCTGATGTTATGGATGTGATATCTCTAGTTTTCAAGTCTTAGATGGCACAGTGAGATTGTTCAAGAAATTATTAGAAGATGATATATCTATTCTCAATTGCAAAGGCAGAGCACACTCTGCAAACAAAAACAATCACATGGATGTGACAGAAAACAGTTTTCTTCCCTGATCTATCAGCTAAGGTAATAATATACAAATTAATGATAATTAAATATTTGATAATATTTTCACAAAATCACTATTTTTTTTTTTTTTTAATTCTGTATTTTCCCTCTATTAATAACATATTAGAAATATATTATGTGCCGTCATATTCTCACAGATTTATTGTCATAAATGCATGCTTATTTTCAACATTGTAGTTTACAAACATCCTGGCTCAACATCCCATGTCACTGAGCGAGAACCATTTAACAAAATTTCATATTACAAGGAAAATTACTAAAAGAAATAAAGGAATTTGTTTATACACACATTAGCACTATGACTTGGAAGCTTGAGCTAAATGAGCACTCACAAATCATTTCTTAAAGGTTCTTTTCCTTGCTTTGCAAATTCCTACTCTAAAATATTTATCACTGGTTCACTTGATAATTTCTTCTCTTTTAAAAGCTTATTTAACTCCATAAATAAAACAAATGGAAAAAATAAATTTGAAATAGGAATTTTGGGATCACTGAAGATGTGAAGTTTATGATTTATATTTAGTCTCAATTTGTTTTTATCTTCCACTATCATATCACATATGTAATCAACATGCTTGGAAGTATATTCCAAAATAGGCTTTGTAACACAATGTTTATATTCTTCCCTTCTCCAACTCATTATTTTATTGTGCCATATAAAATATAATGATCCTTTTAGAACCCCCAACCATTCATTTCCTTGCTGAGAAGCCATTCAAACATTAATATTTTATTACAAACAATGCTAAGTTGCATCAAAATTCTAATATCAAAATTTTCAGAATTCATAATACAAAATTAGTTATACCTATTCGAAATAAATAAAATTGGAGGAACTTTTTGCAAAACTTGTCCATTGCATTTATTTTTACCACACTAATCATGTTTCATTGTGTTGGGAAAGGTAGAATTTTAAGAATATCAACACTCTCCCAATGTGAGTTTGAAAGACAATTCCTGCACAACAAAAATCAACACTAAATATTGTTGTGATAATTCAGTATATAATTGAATGAAGGACAACTTACAAATCACTATGTTCACAGAGTTCTCTAAAAAGAAAACATATTTCATAGACAGCTTAGAAGAGTTATATTTTTGTAAAAGAAAAATAACCTGGGGAAAAATATCACTGGCAATTCTATTCCTTGAGAAGTAGAACAATAAGAAGCACAATGTTCATAAATAACAGGTTTCTTGGCAAGGGTACTCCTGGTTTGGTGAATTTTCTAATATTCTCAAAATTCACAAAAGAAAAACGTTTAGACCTACTTACCAACAGATTAACTGTACAGCTCATACGGTTTTCTTTATTTTCATCAGTGATGATAGATCGATATTCCAACAACCTCTCCATCAAACGTGTAACTGTTTTCACAAACTTCACCCCCTGCATTAAATTGCACATGAAAATAATAAATAAATATTAAAATTATAATTGGTTAAGCCCAATAACAACGCAAGTGAGGAAGAAAAAACTTTTCAGAGTAGAAGGGACCACTTTATTAATTGCACTGCAATTTTTCTGGAAAACTGAACAATACTACAATAAGATTTTCAAAGTAAATAGCATTATGTAAACAATAAAAATTATGAATGATATACAAAAAGATTACAATTCAATAAGATTTCAACATTAAAACTCAATAAACATTAAATCTATGTAAATTGAAACATGAGTGTCTTCATTACTTTTAATTGTTAAATTTGAGAGCCCTCCAAATGACCAAAATATTTTTTCAAAAGAATTATCACAATAAAATGAACAAAATGCATTTTCAAACATAAAAATGTTCATAGTGAATTCGCACAAAAAAGCATAAAAATGTTCATTAATGAATGAAAGTCAGTACCTGTTCTCGCATTGTAGCATGTGGCTCACAGAGCTGGTTCATTATTTCATAGAACATATCTTTATAATGTTCGTCTCCTCTCCCACCTTCCACCAAAATATCTAGTTTAGCTATCATTTCATTTTCAAACTGAAAAACACAAAATGGTGATCATTAGAATGCTTACAACAGCATTACTGAGAAATAATCACCATTTCTCAGGTATTTTGTTTTACATATTCCTACTGATTGTTAATTTAAATCACTGTAATTTATTAGGCAGTTTTAACACAGCTGAAGGAAGTTTAAAATGACTTTTGGGGAATTTTCTGATATTTTTTGCTTCCTTCATTGAAACAAAAAAAGGTTCCCCATAAGTAATGGCTTCTACCATTACTTAACTAACTTTTACCTCCAACACTTTCTGTTTTTAACCTGTCCTCACAGGGTAAAATGCTTTTAAGATGGAAATGAATAAACTTCAGCTAACACTGATCCTCAATTTTCTACTTTGTGACAAATATATTAGTTTTACAATAGTGACTGACAACAGTTTCCTGACAACTTAGAAAAAACTGAGGGCTGAATGACCACAAAGCAAATTATGGGAAAAAACCATGTCCTGTAGGTAGCAAGACATTCTGAGACAGACTCTATGGATACTGAAAAGTGAAAAGATAAAATTATATATATATATATATATATTATATATATATATATATATTTAAAAAAATTCAGTGAAACAAAATTTTAACACAGATTATTTCTGAAACCTTGTTAATGGAACTAATTTTAGTACCTACTTTTAAATCATTGATGTTCTTATATTAGAATAATGTAAAAGATGCTAACCACATCACCTGAAGATAAAAAGACCAGTCCTGATGAAAATGAAATGGTATTTCAAATTCAATTTCAGTTCATTGAAATTTAAAAGAGATACTATAAACCTGAATGTTGTTTCTTTGTTTAGTTAGTGTAAAATGCAATGTATAAAGAAAAGAGGGTAAAAGACAATTTTCTTACCATCTCTATTACTGTTTTCTAAAGCTTGCATTAGCAACACTTATTTCCAACACTTAAACCCCATCTCAGTAATCCATCATTCAAACAGTGACTTGACATTAAAAATATGAATACCTTATGATCTGTGGTTATAATAAAGTGTCAACTGTTTAGCCATACTCTTAATTTCTGTAATGCTTACACTACTGCTAAAGCTTCTTGTCTAAATTTCATTTTATTTAATTTTTAACAGTATTTTTCAGTATAACAATAGCTAGTTCACAACTGATTTTGAATTGAAACAACATTGTTCCCAACCTGAACCCACTACTATCAGTTTGTAAGTACATGGTTTTATTTCAATTGGAAAACTTCATAACGAGCCCTTGTTCAAATTTTATTTTTATAGCCTCCAATGCCTCCTGAGAAGATTCAGTCCCCTACCATTTTGTACCCTTTCCTAATATGTTAATCTCTGGCTGAACAAATAATTCATAGTTAAAAAAGCAAAACAATTGTTGATTCCTAACGTTTTAAGTAATTTCTTATGTCTTTCTTTTCAAATTGCATTTGAATGTCATAATCACTCAAATGATTTCCCATAAATATGAAATTTATGCTTTCCTACGTTTCATTTTACGTTAGATTTCCTAAAGATTCCAAACAATTCCTGTAATTTTTTATATCTTCTTGCAAAACTTGGGAAAACAAAACAATGTCATCTATGTACACATCATTGTTTTTTTGGATGTTTGTTGGCCCATATAAAATTGCAGCTTTGCCATATACAAACGTTGGCACATGGCACGATGAGGCAGAAAGATTAATAGGGACTTATAACTTTAAAAATTGAATATTGTATCAATATAAGAACTTTATTGTACATTGTCACTTATACTGTTGTTTTTCATCCATTCAATTTTATTAGAAGTTATGATTATTTTGAAAGACAAGTGAAAACAGAGGACAAAAGGATAAGTTATGCATGCTGCAAAGCAACTTCTGTGGAGACAGTCATAGTAATTGCCAAGCTAAGACAAAAGGCAGAATTGACAACCAAAAGGAACTACAACACCTTCGAAGGTAAACGTAAATAAGCCCACGGAAGCTATCTAAGACCAAGACAGGCATTTGCATACCACTGAATGAACCTGAATGTAAAGAATGAGGATATTGCTTATTAGATGTAAATAAGACCAAAGGAATTGACATTATAGAGATGTAATGCAGAATGAGACTGTTTGTAAGTATTGTTTGTGAAATCAGGGAATAATTCAGGAACATTTTGAACTTATATAGGAAGTTGTTTAAGGTGAATGATTGTTTCATTTTACTTAGTTTTGTTTACAGATATTGTCTAGAGGGTAGGTGAATGTAAATTTCATTTTTCAGTAAACTTCATGCTTGTAATTATTGTAAAGTTCCCTATAAAGTTCATTCTTTCCTTCTTAAATTTAATTTCTTATTTTCAATTGAACTGAAATACATTTTTATTTTAATGCAGTTCAGCAAAATATTATTTTGATCTTACTGATGAACATTATAGGAATCAACCTAATTGCTCTACGAAGTAACATCTTCAAGGCATCTTTTCATCAAAATATAGGTACAATGATTTGTAGATAGAGAAGCAATTCCTGTGCAATAATTTCATTTTAGGAATGAGATCATGTCACAACAAGATCACAGGAATATAGAGAAGTCGTGATAAGACCAATGCTGTAAATAGTTACTGTCACTATGCAACAACTAAGGATTCTTATTACATTCACTAACAGTATATTTGAAATTAAATTATAAAAATTATATATACGAATGTTATATATACGATAAATTTTCATAAAAAATCTTGCCATGCTCTGTAATTCAATTTCTGTATGTAAAGTTCAACATGCACACACAAACTGACAGAATCTTCTTCTCCCATTGTATAACAATATTTCAGAGACAGTTAAAATTAAAAATGTTTATACATCTCTACTATGATGTAAATAATTCATACCTCAGAAAAATTTGCCTTGATGTGACTAGAATCCCGTTTTGTGTCACCAAAAGATTCACCAGTAACTCGGGAGGAATAAAACTCACACTGCATCATGTCAAAGAAAATTGGAATAGTTGCTCGTCGTAATTCAGTTTCCGGAATCAAAGTCATTTCCAAAAACTGGCCTACTAGTCCAGGAACAAAGTGAATTTTGTGTTGACCTGTTCAATTAAAATAAGTTCAAATTTAATTCTTACATACAAATTTTTGGTTTGTAAAAAACATTGGTTTAGAGTAAATTATTTGTAGAATGAAATGTACAATTTCTCATTATGGAAAACAAATTATACCAACAAACAATGATGTGAAGTGTTTATTCTGGATATATTTATACATTTATTATTCATACTTCTCCAGAAGCGCTATATTTACACCCTCTACAACACAGACTACTTTGAAACCATAGACATTTATTTACCCGCACTACATAACTTAAATTTGAAATTTAACAATAAGACAATTTTTCTAGGATTAACTTCATTTTTCCAGAATCATGGCAATAACAGACAGTAAAACAAGCACTAATAAAACAGTTATTCACAATTAGATACTTAAAGAACAAAAGTGGAAGTAAATACAGAAAGATAAATGAAATGAAATGAAATATTACAAATATATAATAAGTTCCTAAATCAATGGGAATAAGTAATATTTCTTCTCAAGCATATGCAATTGATCTGCAGTTTGTATTCAGGGGGTAATATCCCATTGTCTTTCAGAAAAAAAATGGGGAAATGTTTCTTAATCACTAATCTTATCTAAATGAAATTTTCTCCTTCACAATACTTCTTGTACTCTACAAAACATCTCTTAATTGTACACAAAAAATTAATTAGAAAATACAATCACATGAAGTGACAAATACTTACCAAGGCTGAACCACATGATACGAATTTCAAAACTCATTTCTCTTCGCATGTCTTTATAGCGACTTATAACTCGAGACCGTTTATTCTGAGAGAAAGTCTCTAACTGAAGAGAAGGCTGGGTAAGAAAAGTTACAGCACAATGAAAGAAATTATTCCATGCTTGATGTTCAAAATTTTCAGTACAGTATTCTCGGATTGTATGTGAAAAAAATCTTAACGATTTCAAAATGACACTGGAAAAGAAATAACATTAGATTAAGACCCTGCAATTAATGTAGTTTCTTTATAAATTCAATATAAACAAATTTTAAAGAACTCCTTATTCTGACATAACAGGTAAAAATGAAATCATAACAAAGGTTATCACAAAAGTTATAACTACTGGTTTGTCCTCCACAACAATGTGAATTAGATAAGAAATTTTATAATGTACAATTTCTTTGATTGATTAACATGGGTCTACTGTTTAAGTCATTGGCTCCGATATCAAATCAATATTTTTTTAAAATTTATAGATTTTATTGGTAGCAAATGCAACTACCTAGCTGATTAAAATTGTATGTACAATTTAAAATATAGATCTAAAGGCTTTTACGCAAGGTAAACAAAAAGCACAAGTCAATGAATAAAATATGGCTGGGCAGAGGCCAACTTAAATACTAGAATAAAATAGTTTTCTTCTCTCAAACCATATAAGCTCATACACAGAGGGAAAAGAGGTGTGAAAGTGAGGAGTCATTGCCAAGCATCTCCCGTACAGAGATCCCAGGCACTGCCGGATCTAGGGAGGGCATGGCTTCATGACCCCCCCCCTCCCCAGGCCGAAAGTTTTCATTTACTTTCCTTTATTTGGCAAAGCTGATTTAAATATTCATTTATGTTCCAATTATTATACAATAATATCGTATAGTATTATATCTACAGCACATAAATATTATACAATATAATAACAAATACGAAATATTTACACAAAGTTAATAAAACACTACGTTTATTATTTAACAAAAATCTACGATGGCCCCCCTCTAAAATGATCGACTTGATACGTCCCTGTTCCCAGGCTTGATATATCAGTTGACATCAAACACCACACAGTGTAGAATGATGTGTTTCATGGAGAGGTTCATCTTTTGCATGTCACAGATGTGAGGAAGTAGAGCCACAGGAGGAAACCGTGAGAAAAACGTCAAACAACACAGGATTAGGAACACCAACGTTTTCAAGGGCCCTTAATTGTAATTAACCTAAGCTACTGTGCTGCTATGTTTTGCTGTGCGTTGAGTATGGAGTATTTAAGAAATGCCTTAATATCTGATGAGGGAGAAGAGGGAATGGAAGTCAATACCAGGCTTCTGAGTTGCTAATTTCACAGCCTGATCAGCCAACACATTATTGGAGACCCTTGCCAGAATCTAGTGAAGTACTGTTGTTGTCAAGAGGACCACTGAAGAAAGGAGAGAAGAAAATTCATTAAGTGTGATTCAGGGATCTCTATATTAAGCTACTAACTGTGTCAAATACTCAAACATACTCAAGGTTCTTTAAGGCCTGGATTTCAGCTAAATTATCAGAAGAGACAACAATGCAGAATGATGATTTCAAAAAGAGCAGCTAGTCTACAATGGAATGCACAAGCCACTGAATCATTTATAGTACAGCTATCAGCTCACATGATTTTTGAAGAACAAAGATCTCTATCAATTTTAGAGAAAATACAAAATATGAAACTTTAATTATAAAGGTGTTTATTCATCCAATACAAGCTTGCACATCTGCTTCCGTGGGCATTCACTCAAGAGCCAGACTTCTGTTTGCAAGAGTGGTGAAAGTGCAAGAAATGGGGAGTATGCAGCTTTGCGAGGAGAGGAGTAGCCTGCCATTGCACAGTGGGCTGATGTGGCACCTACACTGAATGCCTGGGCATCTAATGCTTACCTTTATTTGACCTTTCAAATTCCTCTAAAATCTATTTTGTGACAAAAATGTCTACTTCCATAAAGAGAGCAATTTCTCACAAGATTGACATAAAAATTAAATACAGGCAATTTTCAAGAGTAATGTTTGGCAGCACATTTGTGACCATTTTCCCCCATTATGAATCAGAAGAAAAGATCCCAACAAGCGAACCTCTCTGATATGTTATGAGTTATCAGAAGGTTATTACAAGTCTTGATAAAGAGAATATAAAGGGCTTAACCTTTTTTTACAATGTCGTAATAGTAAATAATATTCATTGATTTGATACGAGAAATATATACAGTACTCTTGACAGAAATTAGATCAGAAAGTAATCATGATTTATTATAATGAGATTTTTTAGCTTTGATAGAAACTTATTATTTAAACATAGTTAATGAAAGAATAGTTTATTACTATCATCATGAAACAAAAACAATTCAATATTCCAATTTTTGAGTTTAGCATCATACTAAATTTATGATTACATCGCAGCAAAGCGAATTACATTACCAGCCTTATAAGGCAGTATAATACTTTGAATCCACATCAAATATATATGACTAAACGTTTTAGGTTCATATTTCATATTGTCATCTATTGACAACAAACACTTCCAAACAAAAGGCAATATTACTTGAACTGTAAGTAACAGTCCATCATGTTCTCGCTCACTGCCATTTCTATTTAAGCGCTACAGTTCAAATTGTTCATTATCATTGGTAGTCTTCACTCCTAGAATGAGTTTCATCCCATCCTTTCTCACTACTACATACTACTACATATTATTAACCTCATTAAGGTAATCAGGGGGTAGGATCAAGAGTTTCAGCATTTTGACATTCTGAATTATGGTTACCCTGGAATTATCCTAGAATATGATTGGACAAAATTAAAAAGTAAGAAAACCAATGTTATAACATACCTGTTTTGCAGCATAATCATTTCACTCCAATCTTTTGGATAAACAGGACGAGAAACAAGGTCTTTGAAAACCAATAAGATTTCCATGAGGAAATCCAATAGATCTGTTCGAGTAACAAAATGTTTAATGTACTCAACAAAATGGTGGGGTCTCATTTGTCTAAATATTGAAATCATAACAGCAACAAGATTGCCCTGTAATTGAGAAAGAAGAATTATTATTTATTAATAATTATTTGTTTATGAATTAGGTGTGTGTATATAAAATGCCATTTATTTATTTATTTACTAGATTTTATTATGTTATTATAATGCAATTTATTTATAGTGGGCAAGATGAAGAAGGCATACAATAAGGTGAAGACAACAACAACAAAAGAGGACGGGAAAGGAGCTGGAGAAGGTGCTGGAGGACAAGAATAAAATATTGGAGAAAACAGTAGAGAAGAGAAAGAAGAGGAAGAGTTGTTGAAGAATAAAATCAAAAGAAAGAAGAGTTGAAGAAAAGAGGTGAAAAAAAGGAAAGGAGAAGAGAAAAAAAAGGTAAAGAAGAAATATGAAGGAGAAACTGAAAACAGTAAAAAAAGAGGAGGATGAAAAAGAAAAAATGTAGTTATTTTTTTCACTAAATGGATCATTATCATATCACTACATTTGCTTCTTGTGAAACAAGCTAGCCCTGATACAGCAGGGTCCTGACAGTATAAATACAATATTACACTATTTCATGATTAGCGATTTTTCGAAGTTTCTCAAAGACTATAAATCACATTTTCCACATTCACCCATATTTATTTTTAATTTTTTAATGAAACTTTTACTTTCAGGTTTACATAATGATCAAATTTGCATGACAATTAGCTAGAGGAAATTACTTGGTTTTTTATTAAAACAAAATTAATAAGACAAGAAACTAATATATTTTTCAAATTAACTAATATTACAAAGGCATTAGTTAAAGAAAGAAAATAAAAATTAAAAATGATCAGGCACAGAACTCACCACTAGAGGACTCTCTCTATCCATTGAAATAGTTGTCTGAATTACAGTACGCAAAACATTTAACATGATCCCAGATATGTCATGTACAGTAGACCCAATGTCTGATCGGAACAGAAGATCCATTATATCACTAAGAATCTTGACACTGAGTTCAATCTGCCAAGAAAAATCAACACATTAATATTAAACACATTGCATATTATTTATAATTAGTAAGTAATAATAGTTATTCACATCAACAATTGCCAGGTATGGGAAAAGATTTTCAGGAAAAATAAATTTTTGAAGGATTTTATAGTATAATGTTGACACCTGTGAAGAACCAAATGAGTAAAGATCTCATACAGCTCTGCAGTAGTAATAAGAAATGTAATATACTAAAAACATACTATTTTAAACTTATCTTCAGTATGACTCAGAGTTAACAAGAATCAACAGAACAATATTATTAGTCACCAACACACATATCACTGAGATGCCTTCACTTGTATACCCTTTTCAGTGAATATCGAGGAATCATACACACAACAATAATTCTGATTCATCTAACATTCAGAAAAACAATATTTAACACAACTACTTTTTCAAATATTCCTATTTCAATCAAATCTGAAACAGAAAATTATTATTGGAAACTGAAAATAACATGATGACAAGCAGAGCCAATCAGCACATTGCTCAGAGCGCCCTTGTGAAAACATTCATTTACTGTAACACAATCCAAGTAGCACGATCACCTTTCAGAAGGATAAAACATCAAGAGATACATTGGGAATCACCCAAAACAAGAATTGCAGAAGGAAGTTTGAATTTTATTCCCTGTGATTATTCTGAGATCAAAACTAACAGGGTTGTCAAGAGAGTTAATACTTATAATAACACATTATTTGCATTCAGAACAAAAACAAGCAGAAATTACCAGAAAGATAACTAACAAGAGAAGATGTAAAATTTGTCCAAGACATTTTGGAGACCCGCTTTGCACATAGATAAAACAAAAACAAGGTAAAACAAATTCTCGGCTATCCGGGAGACACTGCATTGTTGGCTGGGAGGCCAAAATTTCACCTGACATGTCGCAGGCTTCCTCAGGGCAGTGAGGAAGACTGCGACATGTCAGGCGAAACGTTGGCCTCCCAGTCAATGATGCGGCATCTCCCGGATAGGTCGTGAGCAAGGTAAAAGAAGATAAATAATAGTCATAAAAAACATAAAACTGGCTTATAAGAGCCAAGTAGCATACCATAATAAAACATTATTATTATTGTCTCTCAGATTGTATTCCCTTTCTTACCTATTTTAGAATGATGCCTATTATTGATATTTTTCCTTATTTTTTCCTCTTTTCTCCCATTTTTGTCACTATTTTGCCTTTCTCTCCTCCTGACTTCAATCTCAATCAAGCTGAAAATATACCTGCAAGCCTAGACAATATGAAAGTATTGTTGTTTTATCTTTCTATAGAAGCAAGCACGCCAAGGCCAGATAACGTTAAAAAACTACATGAAAATTGAAGACGACACCAGTTTTTTTTTCTTCCTTCATTTACACCGACAGGCTTTGCTTGCTCATGAGGATTCCTATCCAGATTTTGAGGATGGCTTCCAATCCCTTTTGAGGACAGAGGTCTCTGTATATGATAAACCCTTCTCAGTACTGGCAATACATAAGTGTGAAGATTGAAAAAAATATTCAGTTTTCACTGATGCAACTTTAAGATTCAAAAGGGAGTCTTTAATAGGAATTGGAAGAGAGAACACATGAGTAAAACGAATTTGTAGCCATCATACTGGGTGTCACAAGATTATAAAAAACATTATTTTCCTATGCATAAGTGCCCATGTAAATTTTAGTTAGAATAAAAAATGTAAATAATTTTAATTACTGATGTAGAATAATTCCTTTTAAATGTGATTTTTATTTTTACATGCCTTTATGCACCCCTACTTATGAGGTCTCTGTTTATTAAAATTGAAATTTTGTTTCTATCACACTTATTTGAAAACTACCAAAATCTGTATTATCGGACTCACAACCTCACCACCCATCTCAAAAGCACTAATTAACGAGTCTCTACCCTTTCTGTAAATAAATAAACTTCAGGGCAATGCCGCAATATCAGTGTCCATATACGGATATTCCAAAGTGATGACGATGAGAGACAAAATCCAACCCGTAGACAACCACACCAAGGCAGGAATTTTGTGAAATGGTTATCCCAAAAATCAAGAATACCAAACACATTTAAGGGTTGCATAACTCCAAATGTTTTTTTTTAGGGGGGGGGGGATAAAATTAAATTACTCTCGGAATAAACACACATAGAGATGAATCACATTCTACTGAAACACTCCCTGCAAAGAAGATCCATCTATTCTAGCTATTGAAGTGATCTGGTGCTCAGGACCCTAACAGAAGTTTATCACTTAAGTTTTGCTGCAATATGCTTACAAAATTTCCTAAAACCAAAGAAGATAGTGGATGATTAGTCTCCTTAGTCTCCAAAGTTCTAAAATTTTACGTCAATTTCTGCACTTTTGAAAACTGGATCAAAATTTAAGAATATGTTAGCAACCAAACAGAACTGAATAAATCATGTCGTATTACATTAAACTTTCACTTTTATATTTCTTCAGTAGTATCTCCTTTGACTCCCTTCACATTTCACCACTGTCAACAAGGAATGAACATCATCATTATGACATGTACAAATGGTGTATCATTTTTTTTTTTTTTGACAGAATAACAGAGACTCTTTGCATAGCATAAAGCACCTTCGTGTATACCACTTTTGAGCCCTGCACATGCGCAACATTAAATGCACATGGCCAGAGGCTCAAAAGTGGTATACGTTAAGGTACTCCAAGCTATACAAAATGTCTCCAGTTATTAAATTACAAATCTTGAAATTAGAATCTTCCATCTACGCTAGCAAACACAATTTGCAATATTGAAATTATGTTTCTTTCACCAGATTTCATATTTTAGACAAATGTGTAAGGTTTTGTATTTGTCAAAAACCAGAGCATATTTAGGATCTGGAGACTTTCTCTCTCTCATTTTCCAATACCTCCTCTACTAAGACCAAATTTGCACCGATTTGCACACTCTTTGAAGTGCTTATTCTTTAAACTCATATACAGTTACTCAAAAATATTCTTCTTTTACAGTTATTTTCAAGTAAAAACAATCAAATTACTGAAAACATAACATTGAATTGTATTCTTTTGATGACAGCTGATTTCTGAGAAGGGAAAAAATGTATGAATACTTATGTATTATGCGAGTATTCTGAAACAGATACTTTCATCTGAAATAGAGCTTGGACTTTATTACAATACAAGGGAAGAAAAAAATTAAAAACACACACTATCTTCATTACGTCAAGATCATTATTCAACAGAAAATGTGAAGAAATGTCTAATAGATACAGAAATTATTAGAATTGTACCATTCCACCAACGTTCTTAAAAATTAACATACACTAAGTTATCATAATCAACATCTGAGAGTTTGCAGTTCCTAATAACACAGACATGGAAATTACAAAAGGCATAATGAAATTTGAATACTTAATATACCATGCTAGCAGCACTAATGTACACAGTGATAAATTGCAGAAGCCAAAAACTGCGGCCAACTTTCACTGGTGCACTCACTAGGGGATGATTTTACATTAGATATTTGTATAAAAGGAACAAGCATTAATTAACAAAACTGATTAAAACATTACTGATCTTTCCCAGAAAACATGCAGTAAAATTATTAATGAATGCCTTAAATTATTTAGAGTAATAATTAACAATATTGGAATTATTTTACAGATATTTCAAAAGAGTAGTGCATGGTATATCTACAATAAAAATACACTTTCCTGAAAATAATTTTACAAAAATTCCTCAAGGAAATGATACTCTTATATCTACAATAATTCTACTTCTTCTTCTTTTTGATGTCTCCTAAGATTGAAACAACACGAGTACACCTTGTGGTTTCAACTATTCCACATAGTATAGAGTTAAAACTAAGATGAAAAATAATGAAATCCAATGTAATAAAAAATGAACACTATATCAAGATGCATATGTTATATCAATATTCACTTCTTTGAAAAATATACTAAGGGCAGCTCTCAAGTCATCAAAATCATTACAAAACTGTACTTTAAAATTTTAAAATATTCACCAAGTTTACTCACTGAAGTAAGCTCATTGCAGCACTCCAGCTTCTGGCAGTAATAGACATTTCTTCATTAGAAATATAGCAAAAATTACAAGCAAGAATGCTATTACAGCATCAACTCCTTAATAATCTACATCAAAATAAGTTAAAATTTGTAAAACTGCTCTACTTTTGTTGGCCAGAATGAAAAGAATAATTGAAAATAGAAATATTAAAATAATGAAACAAGACTTTTTGCAAGGAAAGTGTTTGACTAATTGACCAATCATGTTTCTGGGCGCATCGACTGCCGTGCACGCTTTCATCACAGGAGGTGGTTCTTCATCAGCTACACATCAGTTTTGTGGGGTTTTCCAATCTAGGATATTCTGATCACTGGGTTGTTGTTATAGCCCAACTCATCTCGTGGCACATGCGGTAGTGTAGTGCATGTACACAAATTGAAGTGTGTGTAAGTAAGGGGTGAGGGTAGGCCAAGAAACAGGAAGGAAAGATTGGTCTGGCACTCGCCTGGTGTTGGAGAAACAGAACAGAAAACTCCTCTTCAGAGCAGCCAGCTGCTAGAATTCTCATCTAAACTGATGTTGAAATTCAACCTACAAATTTAGCTAGGGTCGAAAAACCTGCTACTGTCAAGACTAACTCAAGGTACTCCTTCCTGATCAGAGGCATTCCTCATGCCCAGTTGATGCCCACCTCTGGTGGTAAAACTGTTTGGATACATCTAGTTTCAAAGAACAAATGATCACCCAATAGAAAATATGCTCATTTACAACTTTTCTTCTAATTTGTTAGCCAAATTTTATAACTAAAATAATGCCTTGAAACAATACAGTATTTTTGCACTTCGTAATTTTAATATTAAATACATTTCATTTCTGCATCACTGAAATGCGGCATTAAGAGCTTATTTCAACAGGTAAGTAAGATTATCAAATTGTATTGAAAACTGTTGATTGTAAGCAATAATGCAATAACATACTACATAAACATAATAAAAAAGCAAAACATGCAATAATCTAATAAGCATCTCAATGCAAGGCTAAAATAAATTGAAAAAATTATCAAATTCCTCATATACATTACAAATAATATAAAGCAAAAAACACAGACATACCTCTTGAAGAAAATCGGATAGTGTAGTTGTTCGTAATCTCCTTTAAGCAGAGTATAAACACATGTGGAACAGTGTTAATGAAAATTTAAATGATATATGAAGTCAAAGAGCGTGTAATTTTTTACAGAAATTAATAAATGTGAAAATGTAACTAATTTTTCTACTTTTAAAACATTAAATTACAATGCTCTATGGCATGCATTTAAACTATGTGAGCATCTGATACACCATAGTACAAATTAAAACCATCAGCCGGTTCATTTCTTTGATCATAAGATTTTGATAGGATTACAGATGTAATTGCAACATCTGGGATTCAGTGTATCAAATTACAGATTTATAATCAAAATAAAATTTAAAACTTTTTATTAAAGTTATTTCTATTCCTAAAAGAGATAACATAAATAAAATATTAAACAATTACATCTAAAACAAATTTAAAAAAACAAACAGAAGGAAACACAATATAGAAAATTAGAACTTTTCATATTTACACAAAAATATTGAAGAAAAAGAAAGAGGTTATTAAAAGATATTCATCAACAAACAAATTAAAGATCAAAATTAAACATTCAAGGACCATTCATTGGTAATATTTAAATCATAGCAACACACATTTAAACCATCAAAACACAAATAACATAAAAAATTAATGAAAGCTTAAAAAAAAAGATAGCCAGATTGAAATGGAAGATGAATTGAGTATGTTCACATTCTAATTAAAAGAAAATGCAATAAAATTATGTAGTTGCTCGGACAGAAAAAACCTTTATAGCAAGTAAGCAAATGTAATTATGAACATCACCAACGTCCACACTCAAATATCTTAATTTTGAAGCTTTCTTTGAACTTAAAAATCACAATAAAAAATCTCAAAACATTCACCACGGTCAATCATTGGCTTTATTTCCACTCTTAAATGATACTAGAAGCTGTTAAAAAAAAAATAAATAATAATAATAATAATAATAATTCCATTATCAAACTACTTGTTTCTATTTTTTACCAACCAATTTGCCCACAAACACAGAAAATCCCAGTAGAAATATCTAAAAGAAACATGCAATATAAAAAAGTCCAATTCAAAGATTTTAACAAATGTTCCAGAAATAATAGCAGCACCGTTACCACTGTTATAGTTTTGTAAAGAATAGTAAATATTATTTCTTTAGAGGTCAGATACTAAAGAAATGATAGTGTCAAGTTATCCTGTGAATTTGTTAGTGTATAGTGCTTCCTTCAAAATTATGAAAACCAAGAAGTGATTGTGTATCCAAAGAAATATTTAATTATACTTTTTTGTTGAATTTGTCTTCATCCTTAAAAAATATCAGACAAAATAATTATAATTTGAAAACTTTACAAATGATGACTATGTTCTACTTCTCTTACAAATTTCATTTACCCCAAAGACAACAATAAACGTTGTCACATAATTCAATCATATTTGATTACCATTTCATCTCTACAAACCTTTAAATATTGTACAAGGAAGATGGTCAGAAAATAGTTATGTAAAGATTTAATACACACCTCTTCACTCAAACCCCGGTGTGTGCTAATCTTCTGCCTGCTTGCTCCCAGCATCTTGGCCAGCTTAGCATCAGATTTTGTCTTGTTGCGATAAGTAACTCCTGCACGACCCTGGTAATGATGATTCATTCTATTACCCTACAACCTTGTGGTTTCATGTTATGTATAGCTCTTACCCCTTCTTTTTATAAATTATCAAGTAGCAATGCTCAGTCAGTATTTTTAAATAAACTGACAACTAATTCGACTCATTTGGATAGAATCAGCTATCTTATGTTATTACAATGATCTTGCTCATATATAATGATTGTTCAGCTTGTGTTTTCAGCGTTATTTTGATATTTTTACTTAAAATATCCATAATCCTACACAATGTAAGAGAATTATAGCTCGCTAATCCTACAAAAATAAATTTAAATATATATTAATATTTTCAAAAATTAGCTACTGATGTGTTCCTCTGCATTTATATTAAAGTGTTCTTTTGAACACAAATTGTTCACGGAATTTCAGAAAACGTAATTAAACTTAAACCCTTGTTAGATGAAAGATATAATTTTAGTCCTTATAACAAGAAGATACCAAATAAATACACAGCGAATTGAAGCAAACTACAAAAGAAAAAGCTCAAGCAGAGATTAGTATAAATGCAAAATCATTTAATTAAAGTATTATGAGAAACAAATCTGATAAAAAGCAAAAAACAGCAACCTGGTCCCATGTACTGTTTCCAAGATTTGTGTACTACATATATAAGTAAGCAATCATACCTCATCTTTCACTTCCAAAAGTTCCTTCACATGAGCAGTTACAACAGGAAGCAACACTGCTCGGCAGTCAGATATAAGAAAAAGATCACTATGTACTATGTCATTAATTGTCATCAACTTTTGGGTAGGCAAACGATTTTGTGGCAATTTGTTAATTATTTCAGTCAACAGTTCACTGAAAAGAAAAAACAAATTCATTTAAAGTCTGATGAAAATAATATAATCAACACAGATAAACAAAATATTGGGAAAGTAACTTGCATATAATTATGAAACTCTGAACGTTAGCGGAATGCCTGTTTTTTATAATATATTATTTTAACAGTTAATATTTGTGCCCATTATATCATTTCTTAATAAAAAATTGCTTAATAAAATCAATTTCAAGCTTTATTGATATTTTATTGCTTCTAAAAATCAGAAACCATACTTCTGACCTTAAATATAAGAAAAGGGTAGTTTCATTTTGTCCAGCTTTGGAATTGGTTTGGCACGTGGAAGACGGAAGTGCAGGATGTCCAATATGCATCACTGGATATCTGAAGGGTTTCCATGCCATCAAATGTACTGCTTGGTAGGGTAAATTAAACAACTATCAAGTGGCATGCCCACTTTGCACATTAGAGATCATACTAGAGAGAGTGCATGTAAAGTATGCACTGTGTTATAGAAGTGTAATATAGCAACGTTCTGAGGGGAGATGGTTTTATAGACAATTAATGGAAGAATTGTAGTGGAGTTAATACGACAACATATCACGGACAATATTACAACATCGAATACTCAAAACAAAAGCTATGAGTAATAAGGCATCGTCTAGTTGTTTTTTTTTTTTTTTTTTACCGTTCAAATGTGCACACAAACATTAAGTGACATTTAATATTTATTAAGGAAATAGGAAAATGAAATTCTGTTGCCATGCTAGCTATTAGATTAGTTGTTAGGTAATTAAAATGTTATTCTTTTACAATAGGTAGAACAAATTAGTAATTAGTAAATTAGGGTTTTAATAATATCAGAGATTTTTTGTATAATGATGGTTTCTTTTCTTTCTTCTTCTTCTTCTTCTTCTTCTTTTGAAGTTATAACAAGTTATTGTTTTTTTGAAATTCCATATGTGGGTTTTCTTTATGAAAGTTAGTTTCCAAGGTTTCCTGGAGAACACCATTAGCGTATGCCATGGTAATCACCAACATTGATCTTTCTATACAACTGACAGAGACATATATGATGTCAGTACAATACAATACGCTGCATTTTTTTTTTTTTTGCAATAAATTCTGTTCTTTACCAATTATGAGAAATAAATCAAAAGAAAATAAAACCTTCATTCTTGTCCTGTTTGAATCTTTGGAATTGGTTTCAACTGATAATTTATTCTATATAGATAATGTATTTTTTTGTTTTTCTTTCTTTCTAGTGGACCCGGTAATGCTTCACTATTGCACTTTACAAACTACTGGTCATGTGATTGTTAATCACATTTTATGCTACGCTCTGCAAAAATTTTAATAGATAAAAGACTTTCCCACAAGCATGGGTTTGTTCTACGTCCTGGTTTAGATGCGTTTGTACAGTATTTTATTATTAACCATTAACTGGAGCACCAGGATTCTGAGGACCAGTTATAATTTCTTTTGCTTAAGAATTTTGCCGCAATGAGTTGTAAGCAACCGGGACTCTCATGGAAATTCACTTCAGTGATTTGACTAACCTGACTAATGTTTGCCCATGTTGTACTGCTGTACGCCGGTGCTGTGCTCCGGTGTACTGCTCTAAAATTGTATATTTGTAGGCAACAATACGGATCTCTTAGACTTTAGGGCTCCATTAGTGTAAGTATTTTGGCATAGTGTAATCTGCTTTGTTGCAAATACAATTGTTGTGTATTTTGTGAAAAGTGTATTTTACCCATATGTAATGGTTGTACTAGACAATCTGCATACATTGCATTGATTGAACATAATTTATCTGTCAAATTATGGCATTTATAAAAATATTACCACTTCTCTCCATTCTTACAACCAACAATAAAAGTTTACCAACAAACCAACAATATAAATATAATCCATTCAAGAAAGAAGTCCTATCCAACAATATACATTTCTTGTTATTTTTTTAAAATTTGACAATGTTCTCAATGCTCATACAGTTTTTACTTCGTTATATAAATATATTATTGTGCTCCAAAATTCATGCAATTACTTTTTATTTTATTTAAGGCTTTGTAATAACAACCACAATAATAATAATTATAATAATAAAAATAAAAATAAAATTTCCCTTATGAAGTAGCGAAACTCAGAACATAAGGCCTGCTCTTCAATCTCATCATTATATTACTTTTATTTTTAAATTTCAAAATAATCCAAAGTCTCTACATACTTCCCCTAAATCATATCAAAAAAATAAAGTACAAAAAAGCATATTCTTGTATATTTCAATCCACTGAAAACTTAATTTTAAGTCAGGGTCTCCTGGACCCTGGTGCTCCACTTACATAAAAAAAAACAAAGGTGCTCCAGTTAAGGGTTAAAACATTGACCCTCAAGTTTGGGCATGCATTTGTTATGTCACTGAAATGGAGAAATTTGATTTACTTGTTCAAAATAACGTTCAAGTAATAATTTCGGCTGATATTTCACAATCGCATGGGGAGAATACAGTGACAGCTCATGGTCATGCCATTAGGGAGTGCAACGTCTCTCTTCTCTCTCTCCCTCCCTCCCCCCTCTCACATACACACAAACACCCATTTACAAAGTCATATTATGTTACGCATACATAGATATTTATTATCATAAATCATGACAATTAAAAACAGCAACTTATGAAGTCTGATAACATGGTGAACAGTATCTGTTATCAACAGAGGGTTGACCGCATTTCTTTTCGCAATCCCCACTTCAACTTTGCTCGGTCCATGCCGAGCCGACCTCTCCGAAATACTTACTACTAGAGTCAAGATTAACGCATATCTACTCATCATGATTCAGATCAATTTTTACTCGAACTCATTCTGTTTTTTACTCGCACTTTTGAATTGAATTGATGTCTTATTTTACAAGGCGAGACTCATGCTATGAGGTCTGCTCTTCCATCTGACCACACAAATTTCGCTACGCTATACAATATTTTCCTTAAGCTTGCTGTATAAATTTTAGGCTAAAAGTACAAGTTACAGAAAACTCAAAACAATCTAGATAATTTGCCGTCTACGCTATGTGATGAAACGCAAAGTCCATTCAACGCGAGGTATTTCACACTTCATTCATTCAAAGACATGTCAAGGCACTTGCTGAGATCGCCACTGCGTAGATGCAGTGGCAATTGTGTACTCAATCGAATGTTGTGTCCGTCCATAAAGCCACTGTTGTTCCCTCTTCCCTTTTCGCGCGGCAGCCTATGACGTGCTCTACTCATTCGCAATTCCTGAGTGTGCGCCGGCAGGCTTTCATGGCAGCAGACTGTCATTCGCTGCTTCCAAAAGGTCAATGAATTGAAATTCCATGTTTCGGAAATGCTCTGAGAGGACTTTAATTCCCCTCTTATTTAGAGATATATAAGAGAAAATGCACCGAATTAACTTGAGTGTGCACATGCGAATACACACGAGCCGCCATTGGCAGAATATGCAGCAAAGACGCGCTTAATAGACAAGGGTGCGGCGGGTTGCATAGAGCTTCTGTTCAGGGGCGCTTGTGTCAGCATAAATACATCATTCCACCATCACCAAGGCCTCCATTTTGTGTCTATATGCAACTGACATACTCACATTCCCATTGTACCACACTTATATTCTTCACGCAATTGCATGCAATAAGTTGACACAGTATTATAGCAAGAGGATGAATACAGCAGAGCATAAAATACTACTGATTTTTATATATGAGATTCAATGGTTCTTGTGTTAATGTGCTTTCATAATCTTAAATACAAATGCAAAATTAATGTGTGTGTGTGTTTGTTTTTCTTTTTCTTTTCTTTTCCTTATTTTCAGTTTTAAAGCTCTTTTCCTAGCAATATTAAAAATATTCTCTGAATTTGGGGTTCCTAGAATGGAATATCAAAGGTTGTTTTTTAACCCCATCATACGAATTCCAGTTCCTTGATCTGGGATAATTTCTAAGCCTTCACAGATTCATGTTTTTAGGAATTACTTCACATTTTTCCATTAAGTTTTAAAACAGAAAGTTCTCTCAGATAAGGAAACGACACTCCTTGAAGAACAAGTTTAGAATTCAGTAAAACTTTCTTCATTAGCTTACCTCAAATGCACAGCATCAAAAACAGACAGAATATCAGGAATAGTGTATGGAAGATATTTCAGACATGCTCCCTGAGCAAGTAATGTGCCATCAGTAGTGTAACACATTAGGCTTGTGCAACTTTGCAGTAGTTGTTTCAGGGACATTTCAAACTCCTCTTGATCCTTACCATCATTTATTCTAAAAACAACAACAAAATAATATAGAATAACATTTTACGCAGCAGTGTAAAACAACAGTTTTATGTAATAAAGGCATATGAAATAACAAACATATAACATGTTTTTCATTTAATGCATTGTAACGCATTTTGTAGAATCCTTTTCACTGTTATTGAATATTTTGAATACTAATTTGGAAAGTAGGGAAACATCACGGAACTTAAAACCTTGATGGGAATAAAAAGAAGAGAGAAGGAGGAAACAAATGATACAAGATATGCAGAAGAAAAAGAGAAGTTATTTGCACTAACTTCTCGTTTGGTATCCTTACAGCATTCTACCCTCATCTGACTAAATTAGACATCATTTACGTGGAAATGGTAAAATGAGAAGTTAGAATGAAGTAGGAAATAGGACAAGGTATTCATAAAGTATTAGTATTAAGTTTCGGGTTATAGTGTTGTGTAATGTTTTGCAAGGAACTAAGCCAGAATATTGGGGACACTAAGAAATGATTTGGAGAGAAAAGCAGTTTCAATTGCATTACAATGATGAGTGTATGAAGAATGTGAATGATAGAGTGAGAGTACGAAGTGAATCAGTTAAGAACAGTGAAATCAATGATATTAAAGAAGAGTGGGTTGTACATGTGAACATTATTCAGAAATCTTCACCTAATTACTAATTACATTTATAAACAAAAAATGTTTTTTTCTCTCAATAATATTCTTGGAGGCATTGTAGTTTCCAAACATTAATACTGAAACAATTTGAAATACCCAGAGTATTATTAAATTCACTTATAAGATATGATGAAACTTTTTTAAAATATTTTCCTCTGTGTTACATCAATGTTTTTCGGTCCCGACCAAAAGCCCATCCAAGTCGTCCCCTTTGTAGTGTTTTCCTCTAGAGAGTGTTCAGAATTCATGGTCCCTTAAAAAAATTTATATAGAAGTTTCACTATATTAAAAAAATATTTTTGAGATACTTACTCTGAGAACAGCTTTCTAGATTGAACAATAAATCGTATGATGTACTGAAGTGACTTCATTGTTCTAAATAGCAAATCCTTGTCTTGGTCCGGTAAATTAGCATTATCAATGTGAAATTTCAACACTGTAATCAATTTGCTGAAAAAAATAATGATATATTTTATACAACAAACCAGAGTAATGCATTCCAAAACACAAGATGTATTTTAATACTTACTTATAGGCTAAAGTGGCACTAAAACTCTCCTGAATATACAGATCAAGAACAGGTTGAAAGTGTTGGTACTTCAGATCTGACACCAGACCAATAATAAATAACTGAAAAGGTAAGAAAGAAATTAAAGATATACATTCTGGAAAAATGAATTTATAACAACCATTTACTTATATCTTTGCCATTTTTATGATAGTTAACTGTTAATTTCTCAAAAATGTTCACTACATTTGAATATTTAACCTTTTATCAAGCTTCTTTCAAGCTTTCTCAAATATTTGCAGAAGAAAGGAAACTATATTAATAAGGTTCTGAGTACACTAGTGAGATTTGAGCTTTAAAATTGGTTAATGTTCATGCCATTAGACATTGATTCAAGTATTTGAGCAAAGTCACCCTGAGAATCTGTGTATAAAAATGTAATAAACATAATTAATTAAATGTCAGTAGAGGGCAATATTGATGCATTCAGCAAGATATGAAACTACTCAGATCCAAGTACCTTCTGGAGGAAAGTAGTTATCGGCAGTCCATGGTAGATTCACACATTCAGGTTGTCAATTGAACAGTTTTGAGCATTGAATAAACCCCAAAGTAGATAATACTCGGCATAGTTTGGAGTGTAAGTTTCCCATTGTGTTTCTGGTTTGTTTAGGTGATTTTTTCATGTGCTATCTGCATAGGATGCGTGGCCATTGAATACATTGCATGTAATCTAGTAGGTATTGTGTACAAAATTTAATTGTCAAGAATTCTCTCTCCTTGGGAAGCGCAGCACTCAGTTGCAGTGTTTTGCTGGTATGAGCATCTGTCAAAATGTTTCAAAACATACCACACAAACTCCAACAATAAAATTAGGTATTGTCAATGTAATTATTTTAGCCTGAAAGAAATTTTCAGATTTTGCTTTGTTTGATAATTATTAAAACTGCTTTTTAAAACTTTTTTTTAACAAAAATACCAATGTTCAATACTTCTGGAATTTTATTAATAAGCTATGTTATATGCATGTTATGTACATAAATTTACAGTTAAAATTTTGTTCGTAAATCATACCCCCCAAAATTTTCCCAACTCACTACATATATTTAATAAATATAAAATGACAAGTGATGAAAATAGTATGACTTATGGAACATGTAGATAGGTACCTGGAGAGGTATGTCCTGAATGTGTGAGCAAGTAAACGGTCTTTACTGATTCTACTGCTGTAATAATCCAGATGATTTGTGAAAAATTGTTTTACTCAGCAAAGTAATGTAATTCCTGTTGAGAATAAGTACATAACATTGAAGAAAAATACATGTTGGATAATTATTAAGATTCACAGAATGAGTCAGATTATACGCTGAAGTCTCTGTTTTGAAGAAATTTTTAGCAACACAGACAACTTTTGTGCGAGTGTGAATGGACTGCAGCAGAAGTGTGAGAGCTAATAAAGATTTCACAGACATGTTTCTTGTAGGTAACTACCACATTGCCTGGGGAGTATCCCTACCCTTGAGTGCTTGTTTAGAAGTTGTTCAACAAAAGAAATTTTTTACTTACAAGGCATTCAAAAACCATTTGATCATATTCATTCGACTCTGGATCATGCATTAAAATATTAAACAACGCATCCAAAACATCCTGGAGGAATTTTACAACTTCTTCACCATCAACTTTCATCAGAGCTTCTAAACTGGCATGCAGTCGTTCTGGGTGGCTGCTCCAATTCAACAGTCCCAACAGATCCACTGAAATACACAGTAATTCATTAACAACTTCTACATCTTACTCCATTACCTCAGTATGTACCTCAGTACTCAATTACTACTTCAATATTACATTCATGGATTTAACACCTCACTAAAACAAAATCGCATTATCAACGATGAATTAATTTAATACTAGTCATTGGGTCAATTATTTTAAGTAGTTCAGCACTGGTTGCTCAACCATCACAGAAAAAAAACATTTTGTATAGAAATGTCCTTATAATTTGCTTGTGAAAAAACAATTAAAAAATTTGTTTATTGTATATTGTTAAAAAAATGGAGTCCATTTTTGTTGTGTGCCAATTTTCCCGTTTGTAGTTTACGATTTTCTATATTACTCAGCATTGGGTTGTTTTAGATTTTTAAACTAGAACAAAAATCAATCACAAAAGTGTTTAATTCATTATTCTCCAGCCTACAAATCATAGTATTATTTATCCATGTAATATGTTTTTATTCTGGTATTATTTGCTACAACAATTATTGGATGTAAATAAATTAAGTTTGATTTTCAGACAGTAATTCCTCAAAGGAATAGAATAATATTAAATGATGAAAAATATTAATGATGAGTAGCTTACCACTTATAAGTTACACCCTCTTATGAATTGAAATTTTGGATTTTCCCAAAAATTTACTGTATTTTCTCTGTTGGGGAACCAGACAAAAAAATTTTAAATTTTCCATGTAAAAGATATTTATGATGCTGAAAAGCAGAGTAAATTTCAACTTTGAAATTTAACTCAAAGAAGGTTTGAAAAATTTTACATGAAGTTCTTCATTTCCATGTTAGGGTAAGTAGTGACAAGGAGTAATCATATTATTTTCAACCCAATTTGAACAAAAATCTACATTATTTTAAAACAATTAATAATATTTTATTATCAATATCTTCACTCTCTACTGTGGTGTTGTATGTATGTGATAAAACAAAACAAAAATAGAAACGACTCGCCACAATTTGTGAACCACATACAATTAAATTTTTTGTTTGTTTTGAATAACACAAAACATTACGAAATGTATATAGAAAGTATGATTTTCCTGAAATAATGAGGGAACCAATTATTAATTCTGGACCGCTTAAAATGAATTTTTCCATTCACAAATTTTGAAATTGAAATGAAAAATAATTTATACAAAAATATTACTGATTTCAAGGAAAGAGAAAAAAGGCAAGGAGGGTGATAGATATATAAAAAAGGCACAAAATGCAAGAACAAAGAATAAAAAAAGTAGGAGCCCCACAGCAGATTCTTTCTCAAAGTGTTAATAAATATTATAATAACCAAACTTCTATCCTACTAAACTTTTGTGATAACTTGAAAAATTCTAACTAAACAACTCACATGAGATTTGAAAATCATATCTATCTCTAATTTCTTGAAAATTAAAAGTTTAAAAGAATGTGGTTTTCTGCCGCTAAATTATGCTAATTCATACAAAAGTTTACAGAAAGGAGAGAGAAATTAATAATAATAATAATAATAATAATAATAATAATAATAATAATAATAAAAATCCCTTGTTTGGATTTAAACTTAAATGTTAAGGGTCACAAAAAAACGAGCATTACCTGAAGCTACCAAATCATCTGTCAGCAGTAGTCCACTGAAAATGGTATTATGGATTCTTAATAATGCGGTGATTCTAACACATTTTCACTCATAAATACAGTATTTAAACTACTGGTATTTAAAAAAGCATCCTACAAATGATTCAAAAATCTAAAATTGAAGAAGTGACTGAATTAAGAAAGAAATCTGGATCTTTAGGAAGTTGGATCCTGGATCATGGATCATGGAAGCTGAATGAAGGAAGTGAATCCCCAAGTAAATTAATTAGCAATATCCTTCTCTCTCAGATAAGGTTGTATATTCCATTTTCTTGTCAAAAGATAAAAAGCCTGCAGAGAGAGGACTCATCATTACCAAGCATTTCAGAGAGACGGCAAGGAGATGCCTTCGCCGGCTACCTCTTACCTCGGAACATTTCAGGAAAGCATGCTCCACAGTAAGATCTGTCTTACAATTATCACAGGTAGGGGACAAGTCGCCACGAAGAAGATATGCGGGAGAAATGGTAGTGACTGATCCGAACGTGTGTCAATAGAATCTCCTTGCACCTAGAGCTGCAAGATGAGGGAGACCGAGGTTTTACAGAATCCTCGAATCTCCCGTGTTTTAAATCAGAGTTCTGCCACTCTGTTTGCAATGCACTGAGTATTGAGTGTACGCTTTTGTCTGCGGAGGGGACATAAGGAATGTCAATAAATGACTTCCGAGAGGCTGTTTTAGTGGCTTGATGGGCTAGTTCATTCCCTGCAATTCCCACATGACCCAGTACCCAATATACTACTAGGTCACAGTGGCAAGATAATAGACAGTGAAATAGATGTATTGCCGTAGTCAAGGGATCCGAAGGATAAAAGTCAAAAGTGACTGAAGTACACATCAGGAATCACTGCTTGTCATGAGGCACCTGATTTTATGTACTTCAAAGCAAACCTCTGAGCAGAGAAAACACTAGAGTACAGAAGAATTTTGAATGACTGTGTGGCTGTTCTACAGTAGAATGCACATGCCACAGAATCATTTGTGCCAGAGCCTTCAATGTACAAGAAAGTATGGTCTGGATAATATGTTCTCAACCTACTGAAGCTCTTTAGATATGCTATGGGTGAAGTTGAAATTTTAGATAAGTTGGATAAGATGAAATCTATTAGGTATCAGAGAAGTTTTCAAAGAGGGACCAGATTTTTTGGTTTCACAGGGACAGGAAGTTTCAGGTTAAGCTTCCACAACAATGTGTAAAAGCTGATACCAGGTGGTTTAGGTAAAGATGGTCACAGTAAGTATGTTTGGAGACCTGGGTACAAGAATGCTCATCGAGATGGGCCATCCAGCTCTGACACATTTGCACCATACAAACAGATTAAAATTTCCAATCTTCGGCTAAGAGATGGTTCTCCAGCGACCCTCGATACGGCTTGTGCGACTGCAGGTTGCGGACATGTTTTCGCCAGGCCAGCCTTTGTTGAATGTCATACCAAGAAAAGATGCTGCATCAACAAACAGGAGTTGGTTTCCAAGGAACATATGTGGGTGATTGTGGAGGTGATATGTCCTGCAGAAGTGACTGCACCTTGATTTTGAGGCGGAGAACTTAAATCCTGTTTTTGCTCTCCATTCGTTAAGTCTATTCAGGACGAGTTGTAGTTGCCTTTGGATGACGTTCATGCTCTTGGATGAGCAGAACATTGCAAAATCATCACCAAAAAGTAATGCCTTTACAAGCTCTCGTACAACTGTTGCTATCATTAATTGCAATGGCAAATGAACTGACCCATGAATGAACTCCATTTTCCAAAGAGTGACTGGAAGATAGTTTTACGGCATCATGGACTCAAAAAGATCTTGAAGGGAGGAAGTTCATAAGGAATACAAGCTGTCCTCTATGTCCCCAATAGTGCAAAATGCAAAGAATGCTGAGCCTCCAGGACATGTTATAGGCTTTCTCAATGCCAAAGAAAACTGCTACAAGGTGTTGTAATAGAACGAAGTGGATATCTGCGAAACAAGGTGACCAAATGTTCCAAAGTAGATCAGTGCATCCTGAAGCCACATTGTACTGGTGATAAAAAGTTTCTGTGCTCCAGGAGCCAGACTAGACGGTGGTTAACCATTCGCCTCGCGCCAGGTGACAGGAATGGATGTGCTTGTTCCAAATGCGGTTGAAGAGGTTAAGGAGGAACGATCGCACTTTCTCGGGTAGGTGTTTTTTACATTTGGTTGTGGATTTGATCCAGTCTTGGAGCAGAGTCTTTCAGAAGAGCAAGCGCTGACAATAATTCTTCCATGGAAAGGAGGAGTTACATTCCTCTTCTCTGCCACTTGAAAAGTCCAGTGTATTTTTCTCTCATAATTGTGAAACTCTGTTCAATGTTGTGGAGAATTGGAGATGTTCTCATAGTGAAAAGCCAGGTTCTCTGCTATATCTTCAGGGAGAGGTGTTCCCATTTCCGTTCACCAACAACACTGGTACGGTCGGAGGAGGAAGTCTTCCTCCAATTAGGCGGACTTTTCGACATACCACTTTAGGAGCACGGCAAGAGAGGAAGAAAGATAGGCTCTCCAACACGATTTGCTTTCGCGTATGACCATTCTGGCCCTGACTCTACACCTCTTGTATTCGATTAAGTTTTCAATTGTAAGGAACCTATTGGGCCTGGATAACACTCGTTTCCGCAGTTAACGTCCCAACAGGGTAAAAGAGGGCGTCGTGGTCAGCTTGCCGTTCTCGGTACGGCGGTGGTTGCGGCGTCGAGAGCGGCTTCAGTGAAGTGAGCAGACATACAATTTATGTCTTTGGGACACTGGCCTGATATGTGCAGTATTTGGCCCAGTCGGAGTACTGGATTGACCACCGGGGAGGGCGGACATCATTGAGATCGGGCACATCTAAGTAGACCAGGATTGGAAAATAGTTGCTTGCATGGAGGTCCTCGAGGACTGCCCATTCTACAAAGAAAGCGATATTGATGTGAAAAAAGGTGTTGGTCGTCAGGGAGAAATGAGAGGCATGGCCAGTACTTAAAAGAACCAAACCGAATCGGTTTACGATATTTTCCAGAAGTATAGCTCTCTGGCAAGACCTTGCTGCATCCCAGACGGAACTATGAGCATTGAAGTCCTCGATTCAGTCAATTTTATCGAAATTGGTAAGTCAAGGACGGGATCTTTGAGCTTGGCAAATGACACTTCTACGAAGATCTTAGTAAAAGGCGCCATGCAATTTAAACTCTAGTATCTGGAGTAATATCTATACTGTAACAAGTTTCCTTGTTACAGTATCGTGGATCTGGTATACTCCAACGGTTCTTTTTTTTTCGGTGAGAAGGTATTACTCTCGAACGTATTGCATGTTCCGGATTCAGGACGAATTTGCTGCCCGTTGCAAATATGACAGATCGTGACCTC